GTGGGGGGGGGGTGGGGGGGGGGGAAATAACAATATTTTCATTAGTTCTAAAGCTTTTCCTATTCTTTGGAAAAATTTAAGTGATGATCTTGAGTAGCAGATTTCGAGTGAGATAGTTTTATTCCAAATTGCTGTGAATTATTTAAAATAATTACTTAATTAGAACATTTAAGATTCTCCTTAGAGATTGCTTAAAGTGATAAAATGGTTAACCACAAAAATAGTACGCATCAAAATACAGCAACAATGTTCTTGCAGTTTTGAACACATACTTTTCCATCTTTACATGGACTACAACCATTTTAACGCAAACTAAAATTTGAAAATTTTGTCTCTCACCAAAAAAGTGGCAGCTACACATTTGTTTTCAAGGCATCTCCCATCTTTTCACAATGTTAACATTAAAAACTGTTGGAATTTAAGGTGAGATTTTTCTGAAGTGCAATGAATTAGCCTATTCCCGGTCCCCAAAAGTGTCAGTGAAACTCCTAATGCTCATGTGGGCAGAGTCAGATTCATAACTGCACTGGTTATGTCCTAACTTACCTGTGTTTGCCATTACAGACCTCATTCAATTCACGCTAAAACCGAGAGAATCTCTCTAACTTTTTGTGGGCAGGAATGGTACCCTGCAGTACAGCCTGGCAGAGGAAAACAGGAAGAGCAGAGTTCTTCCAGTTGTAGATGGAGACCAGCCCATAAGCTATGCCAGGCCTTTTCCAGTGCTGGAACCCATTTTCCCTTCCAGGGTGACTCAGCTGCTCTAGAAAGTGCAGTGGTGGAGTGAGGTCAGAAATTTTAACTTCTCCCTCCCTCCTCATCCTCCTACTCCCACACTGAACAGGAAATAGCAGCTCACTAGCAGCTGTTTTCTTCCTCCTACAAAGAGCAGCAATGTAAGCAGGTCACAGTAGAGTAAGGAGCTTATTCAGTGATGGCTAGTGATCCATGTGGGAGCTGGATGGAGTCCCACATTACTTACCCTTTACTCACTTAGACAACCTGTTTGTAATTATTAACTGTTAGCAAAAAGCCTGAACAATCATAGCATTCCCCATGTAACACAGAAACGCACTGTGTCTTAAAAGTTGTCTTCTGTAGAAGCCCTCAAAAATGGAGATCCGTTCCAAAATTTCTTCTTTTATTTTTCAGTAATACAGAATAAGCCATAAACTTACAGACACGGGAGCTGTCTCAGGCCACGACACTTGACTTTGCAACAAGACAGAAGCCCTGACTGAGCAGTGGTTATTACCCAAAATATGCAAGTACATCTTTACAAAGTGACAAAGCCCTACTTAAGTCCATGGAAACAAGACACACACAAACTTAAGTGCATCCTTAAGTAGCAGACTGAAGAGAAAAGTGCCTGCTAATGAGACTGAAGTATATGCTTAAATATTTTGCTGAAGTGGGTTTTGCAGAAGATCAAATGCGACCTGATTATGTATTATTACAAAACCAGGTCAATTTTAAATGAAGTTCATGAAGCATAAAAACATAAAAGCAAAAAGAAGTCTCTTTGCTTCCAAAACATCTACAATAAAAAGGGTTAACACCAATTTAGTGAAGTATCAGAACAGGCCAAAATGACATGGCAGTAATGTAGGACTACCTTTGTCTGCTGAGACACTACCATGAACACCACTTAACTGCTTACTTAGTAATAATTCACTTGACTCCCAAGTTTTTCCATCCAATATCATATATGCATATATATATATATAAAAATATATATGCGCATACTCTTTTTACCACTGAAACATTCTCATTATTGTAAATATATATATATATACTTGATAAAATATAAATCCTTAGGCAGGTACTCCACTCTTCCATTAAATCTTATCATAAATGTACATATATCTTTGGAAATCGTTTGCTCTACAGAAGCCTAACACCTTGATACAAACATGAGGCTTAATTTGACACCTGTGCCCAAAAGACACTTAGGCCCAGATCCAAAACAAGTTGTGTGCCTAAGTTCAGATTGAACATCTATAAAACTCTGAGACACTGTAAGATCAAACTCCTGCAACACCCCAAATTTATCACCTTAAGTTCTTGGAAATCTGAAAATTCACCATTTGCCCTCATGCAGAATTGCCATAAGCCATGGCGTGATTGAATGCTTAGCTCATTCCTAAATCAAATCTAGACTAAGAAATTACACGTACCTCTACCAAAGCTTCCTGACAGATTCAGTGAATATTCTTGAAGCATACACCTATCAAATCATACTCTTGATATAATGTAGTGGCAGATGACACTGTATTTTAATTTCGAGAAAACACAGTGCATCCATCTCCCCCTCCCTTCTTAAAACACTGCTATACAGTGAGAGCTCCCACCTAGAACAATGAGAAATGGATCCCGTTATATCTAGGAGACACAAACCCTTACTTTCCAGGAATGCTTTAATCACAAGGACAGGATTATTCCAAGCGGCAACATTCTCTGTCTCCTCTTGAAATCGTACAGTTACATTCAACAAAACAATTCCAGATTGAGCCAGAAAGCAGGAGTGAACATGACTCATACAATAAGTAATTAAGGACACTGGGAAAGAGACTGGGTTCCCGGTCCTGTTCCAAGAATTGTTTCTACATTTTATGAGTTAGAGCATCTCCTCATAGGTATAAAATGTAGATTAGAAGTTCTTCTGGCAGATAAAGAAACTCTGAATTGCCCTATATTGAGCAAGTGTGCTAGCCATTAAGCTTTTACTATAAAGGACAGTGCTCATTTCATTAGCATTTAAAAAAATTATTCTTAGTGATTTGAAAAAAGGGTGGTGGACTTTCCTTCAGGAGAGGTTTTAGGGTGAGCTCAGGCACTTTTCTGTACCCACACCTAAGAAGCATCTGGGGACCAGGATTTTGGACACGGTTTGTCGCAGTGTTTCCCTGTTTGCTTGCTCTTATCATGCCAAGCATGTTGGCATTAAGCAGCAGCCTGACTAACACATTGTCCATTGTGGATTCCAGGCTGAGGAGATCAGTGTTTTACCTGAGCTATGAAGAATTAGCACATGGGCTTCCCTTTGAACCAGGCACCAAGAAGTTGTTTTAGTTGTTCCAACCAGTTTTTGTTTGAAGCATATTTTAGGCTGTTGTGATTTTCCCATGGCACACCTATACCCACTAAGCAACATTCTGCACACCCACATGCTTCTGATGAACAAAGCTTTCAGCTGTAGTTAAATTGCTGCTTTGGAGAAAGCTATAAATAAATTGCTACTTCTTTAGAGAAAGCTACAAAATCATGACCGATTTCACAATTCATACACCAATACAGAATGCATATGTCTGTTAGAAACTGCATTTATGTGCTACAGGAACCAAAAGTTAGATACCCGAGTCTTTTATTAACTGTGGACCTCAAAGACCCCAAGGAGGCTCGCTTTTGGAAGCAAATCAGAAGATAAACCTACTCCAAAACACAAAATTTAAATGCTTCATAAACTAGCAGATCAGATGGAGACAGTATAAATTTATATCAGACTCTCCTGTGGAAGGAGGAGGCAGAGAAGTAGGAGCAACAGCAGATTTTCTGCTGTAATTGTATTTATGTCCACATTACGACAAAAACATACTTCCAAAACAATCAAACACTGAACATGTTTCCAGCATTGCTATCTGTACGAATAACAGAGGCCTAGAAGACCTAGATAAGAATGACTGCAACTCCTTGCACTATTTTTGGCCTACTAAATGCAGGTCCACTCCATCTGCAAAACAGACATTATATTATCTTTTCTCATCTTTCATCTCGTGATGAAAATATGACGTGGCAGAGAAGTATTACTATTCCTGTGCAACAACAATGTCATTCAAAAAAAGTTTAAGAGACTAGCTTCACCTACCATGTAAATAATTTGAAATTCCTTTCTCATTATAATGTGCTGTCAAATCATAATAAAACAGTGCAGAAAGTCTTTGTCATTGCTTAACTGTTGAAGAAGATATTTCAAAACCAGAAAAAAAAAGTAACTGACAATTTAGAGCCTGGAAAACTTTGGCTTCAAACTTGAAAGTTCATCTGCAGTCCCAAGAGGTCACTGCATTCTCTCTAAGCAGTAACTGGTGCCTCTATAATGTAACATTTCTGTGCAAGCTTAAAAAACAAAACAAAACAAATATCCATCTGGAAGAAGCAAGATGATTCTATGTCATTATCCTTTCTGCACTGAGTTCCAGTTTCTGCAACCTGCCCCTAATCAAACCACCATAAACTGATCCAGAGAGTAACAACAAAATAGCACTTACATGGCTTCTTGGGACATTTCTGGCATTTGTTAAAACCCCAGGAAGTTCCCACGGTTCCACAGCAGTCTTCTTGCTTGGAAAGACCAGGAAGTGCTTTGCCACACTGGAATAGTCAGGTAAAGAATATTGTGGTTAATGATACCATATGATGCTCACTTCTAGTACAACGTTCTTTTTCAGTCATCTTGAGTCAACCTCTTGCTGAGACACTGAAGATTCACTGGAGCTCTTAGCTGAACTTCAATAGTACCCATGCATTGCAATGGCTTTCTACACAGGCATGAACAAATTAGGTGACATTATTATTTTCCCCTGTGTCAACTTGAAAAGAAGAAGAAAGGAACAGAAGAGAACAGTCTATGTCATAGGAATGAGTGAGGATGTTTCCAAGGTAGTAACTCGCCATTGGCATTCCTTACGTTTTTCCTCATAAAAATGTGCTTGTCCACTTTTTCAAAAGCTATATAAATTATCTCAAACACCTTTCCAATTACTCTCTTAAAGAAAGACAAAGAGTATGACTGTGATTTCTATAATGTTATTCCCTATGAAAAAAAACCAACTTCCTGCAAAATTATGTCTAATGTTTATGACCACTTACTGAAAATTGCCAAATTATAATGATGGATTCTGCTGCCCAGATACTAAAGAAGGTAACACAGATGACTGAAGCTGAAGTTAGTGATGCCTGTGTTATTGCAAATAAGTCTCTTTCCCCATGCAAATATTTAAGTTAATCTTGCAATTTTTCTCCTGACCAAGAATATTCTTACTATACTTTTTAAGTAAGAATACTAATTTTCAGAATCTTGCAAAATACTTAGTTATGTTCTTGACTTTTGCAATTTTCTTCCATTTTGCATGGTAAAGAAAGCTTAAATGTATTTCTGAGATGCAGACAAAAAACACATCTAAAGCCATCAATTAGGTATAAAATGGAAGTGCACAGAGGAGTGCACAACAACTGCACTTAGTAACACTTTCAAAGCAACTCCTGATATAAATAGGCACTGCAGCAAACAATTCAAATCTGCTGAAGTGTGAATCCTCAGCACGCAGCGAATAGACCTTCTCTGATCTAACTTCCCTTCCTGACAGCATGTAAACCTCTGACCCAAATGCTCACTGCTGCTTAGCTTTCAACTCAAGACAGCTGGCCCACCCTATGGCACGGGCTGTGGCCTTGTGGTTGCTTTCACTTCGGCTGGTAACCCGGTCACTCCGCAGTAGGGGATGTACGCTGAACACACAGGCACTGATGGTTTCCTCCAACCTTCGCAATATTTTTCCAGCGTGCTCTTAATCGTACTGACACCCATGAGTCAACAAAGTTTTCAAAGTACAGAGTTACTCCATGTAGCTTCACAGTGTGACTGCTAACATGATAGCAGACTAACCCACAACGTCAACTGCCTCATCAGAGGGTCCCCTCTTTGCATGGTGAGGGCAGGTCATCCCAGCCATCTTCTCTGCCCCTTTTTCACAGATACTACCCAGGCACCTCCTGAAATACCTCAGCAACAAACTGAAAGCAGCACAAGTTCACCGTTTAAACACCAGACCATAATGTGCAACCTGCAGCAGCTCTGCACTTGCTGCTTGTGAAGCCTAGACATCTGTCAAGTAAGGGATGTGTGAGCAGCCAGGAGCATCCTCTGTCCCAGCCTCTCTCATGAAACAGGGCTTTTCACTAAGTCGCCCTGGTGCTAAGTCACAGTTCACCTCTGCACATCACCCCTACGTGGGGTAGCACCACTTGTGCTTTGAGCCACATTTTAGGGTGACACACGAAGAATGTAAAGAGGAGGTTAAAAGAGACTGCTCCATTATATAATGTTAGGAGTCTGTTTTCACACTATCATCTGCAGAAGGTCATGACAAATTTTCCCATGTTGCAAGGGGAACAGTCCTGGCCTGGATGGTATTTGGCTGTGTTAAAACAGTCAAGTATCAAAGCAAGTCGCATCTTTCAGATGCGGACCTGGGCTTACGCTATGTAAAACACGTGTCTTCCAGGCTGTCTTGTGCTCCCCTGGCTTGGGCACTGGCAGGATTAGTACAAGATTGACCATTCCTGATCAGTCAGTCAGAGTCTGCTCCGTTTCCAGAAGGAATTCTTGGCCTGGCACTTCACAAAGGCTGTCAAGATGCACAAACAGAAAATTCTGCACAACTCCCTCTGCTGTAGTAGCTCGGCTGTTTTCAAAATTGGAACTAGCTCTTTCAACTGCCTCTAGCTAGATGATAGACAAATCTTGCTGCAGTTCCCAGAAGCTCAAAAGTCTTTCAACTGGAGAGTACTCATAATGTCTCCTCCACATGGCTGCCCTAAAACCTTAGAGAATTCAGGTTACAGCCTTCACACAATGCTGTTTTCTCAACCCACATCCTAGGTGTGCATGCTCTAGGAAGGATCATTTTACTTTATAATTACAGCTACTCAGTTTTACTTTATAATTATAGCTCAACTACTTTCCGAGAGCTGGTACTGCTTCTTCAAAGAAAGAGAAGCCGCTTACTGAAGTCGTCTACTGTGGTTGGTAGTGAGAGTCAGCTAAACCAATTCGCACTCGACTGCCCCCCAACCTTGTGCCTCAGTTTTACAACACTCATCTCTCCGAAAAGAAGTGGGAGGAATCAAGGCTGGTGCTGCACCTCCCCTTATGATCTCAGAAATGGAGCATTTGGGCAGCGAGGCACATTACCTAACACTGAGTGTTCATCTGCAAGGTCACAAGCCTCAAGGACAAAGCCCAGCAGCTCCTGTGCATCAAGGCAAGACTCCACTGACACGAGAGCCAATATGCCATCATGAACTGGCCCTTTTTTTTTCTTCTTCCTCAGAATACAAAAGGTGTCATTTAACAGTAGTAAATTAAAAGCATATAGAACAAAGAAGCAAAAAAAAAAAAAAAGAAGGAAGGAGGAAGATGGACTAAAGCCCACTTTTAGTTTAGGTGTGGTGCTACAGCATTTGCACTCTACTGAAAATCATGATCTCTGTGGTCATAACTTTTTCAAATTTCCATATAAAAACCATGAGCAAAAACAAGGATGCCAAAGTCTGAGTCATCTGGCAACTGTGGTTTGTAGTCCTGTCAGTAAAAAACTGGCAATGATTAAAGCTGCTGCTCCCACTGCCTCTATGGTGAATTAAAGCTTGAAGAATCAATGATAATTTGGTTAATGTCCAGATCATTGTAGAAACTGGCCAGCAAGGAAAAGCAATTGCCACATGGGGCTCCTAGTGGTGTAAGATCTGTGTAATTCTGGAGCTATGCATCAGAAAAAATGACTGCTCTAAGAAGTCCTAAGCCAAGCAGAAACAGAGAGTTCTTCTCTGGCTAATAAACCCTGATTTCTCTGGTACATCCAATAGTGCTTCAGATACTTGTAACACTCATGGCACTGAACGAACTGTTTCCTAGCCAGTTACAATTTCTTAAGATGCTCCTCCCTTTCACAAACCCTAAGCATCAATGAACTGAAGCTCTGTTTCTACAAGTCTCAAACTTCTAGGTAGTTTCTTTCCACTTTAAAAATCTTACCCACTTCCTACTACTGAGAAGAACTCATTAGGTCTTCAGACAGTCTGTTCCAGTCTGAGTCACATGTGACTGGAAAAGTCACTGGGGGGAATCCATAACCATGTTTAGTTTGTCTCACCATTCAGCACAAATTCAACCCACAAGTACGAGCCTAAAATAAGCAGGGAAGCTAAACACAAGTGCACGGCTTGCACTATGCATAAGATGATGCCATACCCTAAGCTTAGGCTTACACTTTTCTATCCATCATCCACACACATTTTAAACTAATCTAGCCTGTATTCCTGAGGGCTTCTGGAAATCTCCTCATAGACAGAGAACATATTTTCATGAATGATACATCTGTCACAAGCTTATGATTTGGAGATAATTCTTACTGGTTCAGAAGGCAAAGAAGTCATGAAGGATTGGTATAAAAGAGCTCAACTGTGTTGAAAGAGGCTCAGCAGTAGCAGCAGTATGAGGCACACATGGTACTGCTATAAAACAAAGTTCTTCCTGGGTAAAGCACTCACAGACACTGAAAGTATTGTTTCGAATCCACATATTTTTCCCCATGTGTGCCTGGGCTTCTGTGCCAATATTTTATATAACTGAAGGAAGTACTGAATATTCCCACTGGTAGACTGAAATTCTGGCTGACCCTGTGCTGGTGCAGAAAGGCCACCCCAAGCCACATCACCTCTTTGTTCCTCTGTCCAGACTCCAGCCTCTGCCCCATCTCCATAGCCTTGGAGCACTAACAGTACTTGAGTTGTACACTGCCACCAGGGTTTCATGAGTTTTCCAATGCCAGGGAAAAGGAAGGATTATATCCTCTAAATCCCTCTGCTAAAGGCAGTAGAAGGAATGTATTCAGCTCCTTGTAAAGTGCAGTAGAGAGCCCGGTCTGGCAATTAATCTCAGGGCAACCGCAGAGGATTCTGGCCAGGGGACGTTTCCTGGGACTCCTACTCCTGCGTGACCCATGTACAAATCCCTGTCATGAGCTGTTAGTTAAAACCACAATACAGGCATAAATAAAGGAGTGTCACATGATTAACTATGATTGTAATCGATAGGTGCTTTGCCTGAGTTAATAGCTAATGACTCTGGGATTCAGCTCAAAAGACTGCATTTCACATACCACAATAGCAGAAGTGAATGGATACACTGTTTAACTTTCTGTAAACTATTCAACAGGCACAGACCTTGGATTGTTGCTTCTTTTTTTCCTATAGGCGCGACAAACAGCGTAAGAAACCTCAAACTTAATAAACCGTATTACTGAAACAATTAACAAACATACTTAATTAGCTTACTGACCAGCTGAATGACAGGTTGTTACAAATGAAGCGTATTATCCCATGTAGCACTGGCTCACTAACAGGCATTGTCTCATAAGCAGAGGAGAGAAACTTAAATACTTCCAGACTTTCTAAAAGAACTGGTAAAGAATTTGTTTTGGCTTAAGCAGAACATTCTTCATAGGCAAGTAAAAATTATCCAGCTTTCTTCTACTGAGTAATTAAAACAATGTTTGGTGTTTTTGCTATCTGATACAACTTTAATCTTC